ATTTTACACTTTAGCCCACTTGATGTCAGCCAAATGTTTTTAATTATTTGGTCTCCAAACAACTCCAATTTATCTACATTTCCCCCTTCTTTTTATTTCATATTATAATCTCTTTATCAGTTTTGCTTCATATTTTAATTTTTTAATTTTTAAAGAACCATGTTGATGTCAATTTAATAACTTATTAAGAAATATGAAATGGATGCAGCAAATGCATTGAAAATGTATTTCTTTGATTGTTTTTTAAAAGATATTACTAAAAGAAAAAAAATCTCGAAATTACAAAAGGGGTGTGCTTTCTCAATATGCATCCAAACACATTCAATATATTTTGTTTTAACCAAAACCTTGTTAATTTTTTTATTTATGCAATTTTTCATTATAAGTAGCATGCTTCATTAAATAAAATGTAAAAGCAATTCAAAAGAAAATATTCCTAAAATTTTATTTTTTTGAACTTTTTTTTTATAGGATATTAATCACATCATACTTAAACAAAACTACACAATGGGTTCACATATAATAATTAATAAAATAAATTTTAACATCATAAAAAAGCAACCATTTTATATGAAAATATACGGCTAAATTGAATGGAATCTAATAAAATAATATCATAACTTTAATCTTAATTACTTTATCATAACCAATTCTGATTGCATTATTTGATTACATACAAAGTAATTTACTAGTGCAATTTTTTCTTTTCTTATTAATCTTTTTTTCTCAACAAAAAATGTAGTTTTATTATGCTATGCATTTTGTTTGCTAAAAGCTAAAATAAATTAGAATAAATAGCAATGATTTGAAATAAAAATAAGAAATGCATCTCTAGTCTCTTTATCTTATTAACATTTGTTTTTGGAATTTTTGTCACCATAATATTTATTTTCCTATAAACAAAGACTTACAAGAATCATAAAAGCAAGTTGAAATAAAAAATTATGTTTTGATATTTTTGTTATAAATACATTTAAAAAATATAAGAATAATAAATTGCTCACACAATATAGTGGAGAAATGTTTTGTGTTTATTTTTTATTATCTAATTATATGATAATAAAAAAGCCATATATATATATATATATATATAGACCACACATTGTTTGTATTGATAGATAATATTTCATCTATGATTTATTTATTTTTCATCAAAGAAATGATTGAAAAGTCAGTTGAATGTTTTTTATTTAAAAATCTATTTCTGAATAATTTTCACAAAAAACAATTCAATAAACACCATTCAAACATTAGTAAACAGATTTCTCATTAACATTTATTAAAAAAATTCATCCATTATGGCCACATCCTACATTTTGATGATGACAACAAAACACAACGGATAGAAATGGTGGAATTTATTTTCTTAGGTATAATTAGGTGCAAATCAACAATAACGACTCTAAATTTAATTGATAAAAGGAGCTGTTTTATGTATACTAAACAAAATAGGAATTTCGAAGATCATTTTCTTTATGTAAATACAAACTAAATTGATCACATTAGTGAAAGAAAAGAAAATATAGCGACCATTTTCTTTTTTCTCAACTACATAGATTTTTTTTTTAGATTTATAACAATTAATTTATAGTCTTTTATAAAAATTCTAATATAAATAACTTTTAATTGTAAGAACTCTAATACTAATTATCACTTATTATTTTCTATCAATATGACTTTATAAAGTGATTTTAATTAATATTTATAAAATTAAAAAATAATGTGAAATGTGAAAAAACTAACCTTGTATACCTTTTGTGTGTGTGTGTAACCACAAAAAACAAAAAAACTGTTTTTTCTTCAGCAACTAAACATGACTCTAAAAAGTTGCTGAAAAGAAAAACATAACCGACTTGTCAAACGCATGAGTTGGGAGGGCAGCCTTGTAATTTGAGCAGATGATGAAGAGGAAGTAACAAGAAAACCCTAACCCTAGTACTCTTTCAGCTATAAAAACAAAGCGAAGGCCACGAATAGCGATGGAGCCAGCTTATCCTCCTCATATCTTCGTTTTCCCATCAATCATCTTTTCCTTCGTTTTCCTCTCCTTCTCTTTTAACGATTGTAATCATCATTTTTTTTTTAATTATTGTTTACACTATTCTTTTCAATGATTTCTCGGTGATGAAGAAACACAGATGACGAGTCTGATCATTTTTCCATTCTTTCAAAATTGTGAGGACAATTCGAGGCATTTGTCTGAGAGGAATCATTTTTATTCTTTATCTTATTGAAAATGATATACTAATATAGTTAACTAAATGTCTACTTTTGTTTCTTTGGCTGAGATATTTCTGTTTGAAAGGATGAAGGGCGGGCAATAATGATGAAAGATTTAAATTATCTTATATGTATGATGATTCAAAACCTCCTACTCATTCTGAATGCCTGCTTTTCTTTTGATTTTGTGTTAGTTCTTGCATCCATCGAGGGAGAAGGATGATGCAGCTATGATGAGAAAGCAATCTTAATCTCTCATAAGCATTGAGGGTTTTTACCTATGATTGCATTTCAAGCACTTTTGAGCTGGCTCTCCTTCTCCTTGTGACTGCTTCCCCCTTCAGCTGATGAAACTGAATTTTTTCCAGTCTGGAAAAAAATATTGAGATTGGATCTTGAAATTGATGAGACCGAAGCAAGACCATGGGAGAACAATAAATTGTTGCGATCATTTTGTGATTTACCTAAGAAAATGTTTTGAAGCAGATTGGGTTTTCCTGGTTTGCTGCTGTAAGAGACGAGAAAGCAAAGGTTTCTTCGAAATGAAGTCAATTACAATCAGATGGGTAAAGCATCATAGATTGCCTATCAGATGATACTGCATTACAGATTAAAGCATATAAAAACTGGGTTTTCATGACGGTAAATATATTACATAAATAATATATTAAAAAAATCGCAACTATAGTTGTTTCTTTTAAATTATTTTTATTATCATTTAAAAATATAAAAAATAATTTTAAATTTTTTAAAAATATAATTGTTTTTAAACATTACCTGAACTCCAAACAAAATAATATTGCAATAGTAAAACCTTGCTCGAGTTTTTATAAAGACTTTGTATTTTTTTTTCCTGCAGAACATGGAGTTTGTGCAATATATATAAAATTAAAATATTAATTCAATAAAAATGATTTAAATTTAAGTTTAAAAATAAATTAATTTAAATAAAATTAATTTAATTAACTTGATAAACTTAATAGGTTTAAAAATAATTTGGATGAATAAAAATATAATTTAACTAAAATGAAACTAAAAGATTTTATTTTATTAAAAAAAAATTGAAATGGTTATAAAATCAAATTATAAAATGATCTAAGATTATTCAGGTTAACTCATAAAATTCATAATTCGAGTTATGATATTAAGATAATTTTATAGAAAATAAATTAAAATAAATTATAAAATCTAATTTATAATCAACTAATTAAAAATAAAAAAAATTGAATTTAAAATTAAAAAATAAATTAAAAAACTTCAAATTAACTGAGTTAAACTGTAAAATCTATAACATGAGTTATAAAATTAAGATAATTATAAAAAAATTAAAATAAATTATGAAATTTTATATTTAATAAACTAAATATTAAAAGATAAAACTAAATTAAAAATATATATTAAAAAAAAACTGTTTAAACAAAACCTCTAACTAGAATCTCTAAAATGAGTCAAGATTATTAGGAAAAAAATTTATTTTAAATGAGATATATTGATATATTAATTATCATAGATGCAGTAGATTAAAACTGATACCTTTAATTGTGGTGTTTTGTTTATAAATTGACATTATAATTACACCAGGGTATTATTATATTTGAAAAAGCAAAACGACAATAATAACAAAAAAGTATTTAGAATACAGGTGGCTATTGATTTTTAAAATATTATTTTATTTAAAAATATGACTTGATAAACTTGATAGGTTTAAAAATAACTTGGATTAATAAAAATATAATTTAACTAAAATAAAACTAAAAAAACTTATTTTATTAAAAAAAATTGAGATAATTATAAAATCAAATTATAAAATGATCTAAGATCATTCAAGTTAACTCATAAAATTTATAATATCGAATTATGATATTAAGATAATTTTATAAAAAATAAATCAAAATAAATTATAAAATTTAATTTATACTCAACTAATTAAAAAAAATTGAATTTGAAATTAAAAAACTCCAAATTAATTGAGCTAAACTGTCAAATCTATCATATGAGTCACAAAATTAAGATAATCATAAAAAAATTAAAATAAATTATGAAATTTTATATTTAATAAACTAAATATTAAAAGATAAAATTAAATTAAAAATAAATTGTTTAAATAAAACCTCTAACAAGAATCTTTAGAATGAGTCAAGATTATTAAAAAAAAAAATTATTTTAATTTATTTTAAATGAGATATATTGATATATTAATTATCATAGATGCAGTAGATTAAAACTGATACCTTTAATTGTGGTGTTTTGTTTATAAATTGACATTATAATTACACCAGGGTATTATTATATTTGAAAAAGCAAAACGACAATAATAACAAAAATGTATTTAGAATATAGGTGGCTATTGATTTTTAAAATAATATTTAATTTATTTTTATTATTGACGTGTTAAAATAATTTAAAAATATTAATTTAAAATAAAAATGTTAAAAACTCGGTTCGGATTGAAACGCTGAGAATAGAAGTTTAAGCTTTAGATATTCAGTTAAAAATACCAGATATAAGACAAAGGTTTACGAATTGGCCCATTAGCTCAGTTGGTTAGAGCGCCGTGCTAATAACGCGAAGGTCGCAGGTTCGAGACCTGCATGGGCCAATCTGAATATTTTTATTTTGGATTAATCACAAACATCGCCATCCAGTCACATTGAGAGAGTAATCCCTAACCAGATACTTGCCACGTGGCAAACTAAGAAACCAGAGGCTTTACCTTCAATCAGCCAATAGGAGAAGGCCTTACCCTATCTCTTTATCTTTACCCACACCAAAACCAACCACCTTAACCAGCACAGAGCATTTCATCTTGTGATCACTCGCTCTGTTTTTTTTTTTTTCTTTTCTTTTGAATACACAGTTCCAAGCTAGACAGACAGACAGCAGTTGGAACTAAATGGCTGCCTCACTACAAGCAGCAGCTACACTGATGCAACCCACCAAGGTGGGTGTGCCTTCTAGGACCAGCCTTCAACTCAGGTCTTCTCAGAGTGTTTCCAAGGCTTTTGGCCTCGAACCAGCTAGTGCTAGGATCTCCTGCTCTTTGCAATCTGACCTTAAAGACTTGGCTCAAAAGTGCGTAGATGCTAGCAAGATCGCTGGTTTTGCTCTTGCTACTTCAGCTCTTGTTGTCTCGGTATGTATGAATGTCTTAATCAGATATTTTTAAACTTCTAACGGGTATATAATTTAGAGTTTATCATATTCATATTCATATTAGACTACCAGGACTATAGTATGATTGCCCTGCTCTATCAATATCATGCATGATGATTACCGTAAAAAGTACTTGCTCAACGGGAAGGGAAGCAATCACATGGTAAGATAACCGTAATTAGTCAGTGTGGATTGATTATTAGAGACCATCCCCTTGCTGCAGATTTATATTTAAGGTTTCAATGTTACATTGAGGATTAAATCCGAACCCAGGTATGATATATATATATATATTTTTTTGTTTCATATTTTAGGGAGCAAGTGCTGAAGGAGTCCCAAAGAGGCTGACCTATGATGAAATCCAGAGCAAGACATACATGGAAGTAAAAGGATCTGGAACTGCTAACCAGTGCCCAACCCTTGATGGGGGAGCTGAGTCATTCGCCTTCAAGCCTGGCAAATACAATGCTAAGAAGTTCTGCCTGGAGCCAACTTCATTCACTGTCAAGGCTGAAAGTGTTAGCAAGAATGCTCCACCTGAGTTCCAAAACACTAAGCTCATGACTCGTTTGACCTACACCCTCGACGAGATTGAGGGACCTTTCGAAGTCTCTCCCGATGGAACCATCAAGTTTGAGGAGAAAGATGGCATTGACTATGCTGCTGTGACCGTTCAGCTGCCTGGTGGCGAGCGTGTGCCTTTCCTTTTCACCATTAAACAATTAACAGCATCAGGAAAACCAGAGAGCTTCAGTGGAGAGTTCCTTGTACCATCCTACCGAGGTTCATCTTTCTTGGACCCAAAGGGAAGAGGTGGCTCAACTGGTTATGACAATGCAGTTGCATTGCCTGCTGGAGGCAGAGGAGATGAGGAGGAACTACTCAAGGAAAACATCAAGAACACCGCATCATCAACAGGTAAAATCACCCTAAGTGTTACCAAGAGCAAGCCTGAGACTGGAGAGATCATAGGAGTGTTTGAGAGTCTTCAGCCATCTGATACTGATCTGGGAGCAAAGACTCCCAAGGATGTCAAGATCCAGGGGATCTGGTATGCTCAGCTTGATTAGTAGAGCTCTTCTGTATACAATCCGTGTATTTATTCTTGGTTGAGATTTTGCTAAGTGTTTCAATATGCTGCCAAATGAGTTGCACTAAACTATTTTATTTTGTTCTGTAATTATCAAGCCTCTTTGTAATAATCTTTGGATTAAGGTCTATGGTTAGATAATTGCAGGTTGTGGCAGCTGCACTCTAGACAGAACCTTATGCCTGTAGCATGCAAAACTTTAAGCCCACTGGGACCATAAAAATGGGGGAAAAATCACATAAAAAACCAAACAAAAACTAACAAGAGTTGAATCAAGAGGTGGCTGATTCCAAATCATTAGATTGCTTTCTCCAAGATCACAAAAGAGCAGTTGTGCACAGGAAGAGATAAAGAGAAGTTACATAATTCATTAAGAAAAACTACAATGGTGTTCAAAGATTTTAGCAGGACCACTAAATAAGTGATTCCTTGTGAATCTAACATTGGCAGGGGAGGAAGCTATAATGGGGAAGGATTGTATTTGCTACTTGTGACTAATAAAAAGCATTTGTGGCCAATGAAACTTTCCTTCCATGACATGCATGCTTGAGTGACCCATTCAATACTAAAAGTGTATTTGTTTTGAACTCAATAACATCTAGTATAAATAAGAATGAATCTTCATATCATATAAAAACACGCAATCAAGAATAATTTTCTCAATACAATTTCATTTTTCAATTAGTGGATGGTATATCATATATCACCACCCTGTATCTCTATTGGTCTTTACTCATTGCTTTTCATCAACATCAGTTATGCGGATTAGGGTTTGATTTCTTCTTTTTTTTTTTTTTTTTTTTTTAACTTTGCAGCTAAGGTAATTCTCAAAAAAAATTATAAACTTTTCCGATAAGAAAAATTATAAAATGATGTAAGGCAGCTAAAAACAACATAAAAACGACAACAGATATAATAATATAAAATTTTTAAAAGAATCAAACACACAAAAATTATAATTCATAATTTTATTACTAAATATTTCTTTTCACATAGTTTGCATTTCTAAGAGATTTACAATCATTATATAAACCCAAAAAACAACCTAAACAAACTATAAAACTTAAAAATAAATAAAAATAATAAAAGTTTTAAACAAATTAAGAAAAATAAAATTATTAACCATATTATTTGATTTTTAGACTAAATAGGAAAAATAACTTTTTAAAAAAATATCTGGCATCAATCTTTCCATGTTAAAAAACAAAAAAATTCATCCTCATGTTTAAATTACTCTTATTTTAATATTGTGAATATCCAATCAATTCTCTTCAACCTCTTTTCTCTGTTCCCTTTGGATATACGATGATTTTAGACATTAACTCTAGTCTCTTCACTTTAAATTTTGTACAAAACGAATGGTGAGGTTAAAGAAAACATCTAGATGTTGATTTTATCATTTTTCTCTAATTGAATCATGTTTTAGCAAGGCAAAATAAAGGTTATAGACAACAACAATGGGAGAAGGTCATGATTTGGTAAGCTTGACAGTGTATTTAGTGAAAGAATCCCAATTAATTTGGGTAGATTTTGGAAGAAGGAATAGAAAATGTGTAACTTGGTCAGGAATTTATAATGCAGCATCTTTTACTACATGAGGAATTTTTGGTAGATTAGGTCTTTATGGACTGCAAGACCTAGAATGTAGTGGAGTTGAGTATCTGAATTAAATAAATAAATATTAGAACAATATAGCTTTACTAGAAGAAGACATCAATAGTTCAAGATGAAAGAACTTTTGTTAAGAAGAAAATAATGAAGCTTTATGAGTGTCTAGGATTTTTGCTATCCAGGGAACAAGAAGAGAAAGTACCTCATTCATAATCTCTTTTGTTAACGATTTTGAGGATACTTTCTTGGACATTCTTTAGGGTTTGTAGGGAA